TTCTGCTCCCACCCAATGCCATGTACTGTTGTGTCTTTTATTGGGTATCTGTGTTCTATACCTGTTTGAGAGATCTCCTGAGCTTCCTTTGAGTGAATATTCCTGTAGTACAGTGGGTACTAGGGCATTTGCCTTGAACACTGCTGACTTAGGTTTGATCATCATCTCCCCAGATAGTTAGTCCTCTGAGCACTGTCACAGGTGACTCATGTTACCAGAAGTCCTCAGTACAGCTAATTGTTACCCAAACCCCTCCCTCCCAAATTCCTTTGCTCTATTAAAAATAAATCATTGTTTTGTACACAATATGAGAAACATTCTTTCTTTTTTCTTCCTCCTAACATTACAAATCCCTGCCATCCCCACTTTGAGATTCCAACAGTATGATAGATGCCTCCCTAGGCTATAGGAATACAAAGGAGAGCATGCATGCAGATGCTTCTTCTTGTGACTTTTATAGTAGAAACTCGTGTTTTAATTGGTGAATATTATGCAAATTATGGTCGATGGCAAGGGTGTAATTATACGAATCCTCACAATTCAGCTCAATTTTGTAGCTGACTTGTTATGATGTCTGAAATCAGAGACCTGGTGTGAAGGACTGGGATCAATCACTGTCCCCATGACCAGGCTGCTCCAAGCATTCTGTGGTAGGTGACCTGTGGGAGGGGAGACCTGTCTGTAGATGTGACAGATCACAGATGCAGGGCTGTGCTTGAGATCCTTAATCATAGCAGTTTTGTCAATTGATATCTCAGTGTTCTCTCTCCTCTTCCCCCCTTAGTCTGCTGCACTTCCGCATTGAGACACCCATCAACCACAGACATGATGCTACTAAACTATGAACTAGATTACGATGTCGAGTTCACTACTGAAACTTCATGTTTCTGAGGCTGACACCTAAGGATAGTAGATACACAGGACAGATAGATTGTTTTATAGCTGGAAGCCTGCCTCATGAGCAAAGGGGAGAAGGCAGCTGGAATAGAGAATGGATCACTTAAAAAAAGATGGCTGGAGGAATCGATCGGGATGGGAGATGTGTGCAGAAAGTGGAAAAAGGACCAAACATGATAACATCTGTGTCTGTATTACAAACCATAATGCCAAAAAGTAGAGAGAGATTATAGGGAATCATGTCTGCCATGGAGGCAGGGGGAGGGTGGAAAGGGGAGGTTATACCGGGGATATTGGTGGTGGGGAACATGCACTGGTGGAGGGATTGGTGTTTGATCATTGTGTGATTGTAACCCAAACATGGAAGCTTGTAACTATCTCATGATAATTCAATAAAATTAAAAAAAAATGAAACTTCATGTTTCTGGACACTATTTGCTTTTATGGTCACATCCAAAATTTTCATCTTCACTTTGAAAGGCTATCTAATCTAGCTCTTTCTTGCATTGGGTTCTCCTTTCTTGCCGATTCCCTATTCTTAATTTACATTAGCCATCTTGGGTTGCATTTCACTTCTCTATCTTGCATATTCTTTTCTCTGGATCATGACCCAGGCTATTATTACCCATTTTATTGCCTGTTCCTCACTGCTCCTTTCTTTGAGAGCTGAGGTTTACTCCTGTCTCATGCACTCAGGAATTACTCCTGGCAGTGCTCAGGGGACCATATAGGATGCTGAGAATTGAACCCAGGTCAACCACATGCAAGGCAATCACCCTACCCACTCTGATATCTCTCCAGTCCCTCAGCCATTACTCTTGGGGAGACCTATTCTCTCCCTCTCTATTTCACTTTCCGAAAAGCAGTTAAATTTTCAGAGCCTTCTGTTTTTTTTTTTTATATTAGAGCTTTTCAAGAATTCATTTGAATCACTGAAATTTATCCTACGTCTTATGCTGTTAAGATTGCTATTTGCTGATAGTATGCTTTATAGTCCAGTTCTCTAAAAGTTTTTTTTTCTTTGGTGAAGTAAAAATAAAAAAGAGAACTCTAACTGGCTATTGCCACAATCTTAACACTAGACTTTACATAAAAAAAGTACGTGTAAAATACTTACTAGGAGATAAACACTCAATCCATGTAGTAGTATAGTTCTAATTATCAGTATTAGTAGTAATAACTAACTATACATGCCCTAAGTTTTCTATGTGTGCTTACCTCTCACTAATCTGTAGGGCTGTGAGAACAGAGGTTATAAACATGTGTTGGTTATAAACATGCCTTGGGAACATTTAATATAAGAAGGAATGAGGTCTTTTGGTACCACAGTGAGGCCAAGAGGTTTTAACACCCTAAGCCAATTTGCGTGTAGCCCTTATCTTGCACTAATTAGCGGAAGCATCCCTTGGGAGGTAAGGTCCTCACCCGGTGATGTGTGAGCCATTGGTGCATTCACGATATCCTTGGTGCAGTATCCACAGAAAGGTTGCAGGCGTGGTATATGTGAATAAGAGCAGTGCTGTTGCATTGAAGTGAGTAGAAGACACAGAACTTTTAGTTTAGAGATGTGAATTTCAATGGTATTTATTAAACATGCATTTCTAGAAAAAGAAAATAAACACCATTTTCTAAGGCTGCCATTCCCTTCCCTATTATTTTTTTTGTGATAGGTTCTTGCAAACTTAATTTCACCCAAGTTGCAGTTGGATTTATCACAATATTTTCAGAATCTCTGTATGGTTGAATGTGATATGAAATAGAAATGGGTTTGTCTATTGCACATTTAATATGCCCACTACTATTTCATCTTTTTTTTCCATGGATTACCTCAATGTTGTTAATTTTAGTTAATTTTATAGAATAGATTTTTATCTGCCTATATTATAGGCAAAGTAACATGAGCCTCAATAAATGTTTGTTTTTCCTCCTCTTGTCATTAGACAGGCTTAAATCTTAACTTTGTGCTTTGACCTTCTGAAAAATTTTGATGCAATTTAACAATCAGAGAGTACTGATGAGTATAAGAAAAAATGACAAATAAGTCACTATATGAATTATATAATTTTGAGTAACTCAATATTCAAGAACAAAAATATTGTAAAAGTGATACCTTCTGAGACTCAGGAAGGCCTAGTCCATGACTGGAAACTCCGTGAATGATAAATTATTTAAATTTTATTTTTTAATAAAAATACTAATGGAAATGTTAAAAATGCACATAAATTGGAAAAATGATAACTTAGGTAACTTAGGATTAATATTGCATCAATGAATTATAATCCCACATTCATTACAATAAAGTGGCATTTCACTATTCTTGTTAACAAATTTAATACAATAACTTAAAGAGATAAATTTTGAGATGAATTAAATATTTGATATAATCCTCTCCTTTAACTTTATAAAAAATTCAAAAGCAAAGTAGGAGATCTACATGCATTTGTAGTCTTTCTTGCTACCTTATGTCTTTTTAAGAAACAATCCTTTCATTTATTGAGGCACTAAATACAACTTAAATTGGCAAAGAAAGCTATCGAGCCTGTTCTGAATAAAAGTGATCCCAAGAGAACATAATGTATTTTGGGTTTCTGGGAGTTTCTCTCCATAAGATAATTTTTAAAAAAGAAATACGTATTTGAAATCTCATGGTGCAATAACAGGAACTATATTGGTATTTAAGTGAGTTAAATTGAAAATATGTGCATTTAAGCAGTCCTTTCCAACAATATTTCAATGAATTTTTTAATGCAAACTGAGAAAATATATTCCTGTTTTATTTTAGTTTTTGCAAGAATCAACATGGTATAAAGAAGAAACACCATATATCATAGCAGTCCTACTTTCTCTTAAGAATAAATGGAACATCTGAAAGCCAGGACTTTTCTTTACCCTATTCTACCCAAATATTTCAGGAAGACTAGGTGTCCAACATATTATTGTTGCCATAGAGCATTTGCCTTGCACTTGGCCAACTGGGTTTAATTCCTCCGTCCCTCTGTGAGAGCCCAGCAAACTACCGAGAGTATTCCGCCCGCACAGCAGAGCTTGGCAAGCTCCCTGTGGTGTATTCGATGTGCCAGAAACAATAACAAGTCTCACAATGGAGACGATACTGGTTCCCACTTGAGCAAATCGATGAACAATGGGAGGACAGTGCTACAGTGCTACAGTACCATGACCTATAATGTATCTTGATTCTATTTTGCAAAAAAGTACTGTGACTGAAAAAATGTGATCTCATATTTTCATCTCAGTGCTCTTTGTAAAAGGGAATGCTTTTCCTGAGCCAGAGAATACGTGAACCAAATTTTCAGAAAGCCCTGCAACAATATAAGTTCTTAAATTATAGGAAATTTTTTATTTTTTAATTTTTATTGATTTTGTAGCCAATATCTGGCAGTATTCAGGGTCTTTTCCCAATTCAGCACTTTCGGCGGTGTTCAGGGGACCCGGTGGTGCTGGGAGTATCAGTGATTCCTGTGTTCAAAGCCTGTGCTCAGATCATGCCACTATCCATCAGACTCTGAAAATGTTTTTCTTTTTTTAAAAAGAAACAAAAACACCATATCTGTGTTGAATTCTGAGTCTACCACCACCTTTAGGCCCTCCAATAAGAACCTCAGAGAGGTTGTTATATGTTTTGTTGACTTCATTTTTCTCACATTTTACATGAAATATTTTAACTCCTTGTCAAATGAAAATATTTAGAGAATTACCGCTTGAGAAGCCATTCACCTAGTTCTTGACTCATCGATCTACAAAAGGTAGCTAAGAATAATAACTTTAAATAAATGTATTTAATAAATGAAAGAGAATATTTTTGTGTTTCCCCTTGATCTTTCATCATTCTAAAGGCATGTCAGTTTATACTAAATAGCTCAGAATCTTTTTAAAAAGTGTTCTAACTTATTTATATGAATCCCATTATATTTTATTTTGATCGACAAGCCTTCACTTGCATAGACTCATGCACATCTGCTGTTAGCAGGACTCGGTGACTTTACAACTAGCGTAAAAAGAACCAAGTTGAAATTTAAGCGGCAGGTTAAAAAAAAGTTTTGCAGATTGCCCCCATCACTAACCAGTACCACTTTTCATTTTAGCTACACACAGACCTGGATCCTGGGAGCAAAAAAATCAAGTATATCCTATCAGGTGATGGAGCTGGGACAATCTTTCAGATAAATGACATAACAGGAGATATCCATGCTATAAAAAGACTTGACCGAGAGGAGAAGGCTGAGTACACCCTAACAGCTCAGGCAGTGGACTGGGAGACGAACAAGCCTCTTGAGCCTCCTTCTGAATTTATTATTAAAGTTCAAGACATCAACGACAATGCACCAGAGTTTCTTAATGGACCCTATCATGCTACTGTGCCAGAGATGTCCATTTTAGGTATGTATGCTTCCAATTTCACAGAACTATTAAGAGTCATCTTTAAAATAGCTCCTGGCATCCAGGATGGCGTGTTGCTGAATAAAAGACATTTATTACCATCTTATCTCTAATTTGCATTTCCAAATCCCCCTTTTTGGCCTAAGTTCCACAGCTCAATAGCTTTAGTCCCTTAGTAATAGGAACTGACGAAGCAGTTCTATTAAAATATCTCCCTTTACACGACAGTCCTTCAATAGGCTGAATTTGTATTCCTCTCATAGACTTGTAGTTCTAGTATTGTTACTGAGGCGGATTTATCAAGATTTGTTCCAACATGCCAGGCTAATCCTATTGATATTTGCTTGATGTTTAATTATTTGTTTGTGTATATTCACATGCAGATGCAGAGCATAGAGAAATAGAAAATTGTCTAGGTCTGTAGTCAGCCAGATATTGGATTGAGCCAGTGGTTTCAGTCTAGAGTGGATTAGAAACTCCGTTTCCAAAGGGACTTCTGTGCTATGGTCATTGGACCTTAACTGAATCTTTTTAGCAACTCAGCTGTCACCCATAATCTTTCCCCACTTTCTCTGAGCCATCAGTATATCCATCACGTTTTACAAAGAAGTATTTATTTCAAAGCATGACTTACCATTTCTCTGTTTTCCTCTTTGGGCAGAATCTTCTTATTTCATCCCCAAACCTTAACTTTGGATCTAGACTTAACAGTCTAAGAACATTTTAGAATCCTTTGCTACCTGGCAAATAAAGTAAGCAGGATCCCAGATGCTCAGGGACTGATTACAAAAGCCATTCTTGTGAAAGTACTGCATACATTAATTTCATGTTGTACGTGAACATACCCACCAGCACGGCAGAGCCTGGCAAGCTCCCCATGGTATATTCAATATGCCAAAAACAGTAACAACAAGTCTCACAATGGAGGCGTTACTGGTGCCTGCTCGAGCAAATTGAGCAATGCTACGTGAGCATAATCTACAAGAATGCTGGGCTGGAGAGACAGTAGAGGAGGTAAGGTGTTTGTCACACATGCACCTGACCCTGGTTCAAATCCCTTGCACTACATGCAGTAGCACCACCAGGGGTCACTCCTGAGTCCTGAGACAAAGATGCTTGAGCTCCACCAGGTCTAGCCCCAAAAATTGTTAAAAAAAAAATGTTGTCCTAAAAGTATATAAATTACAAGCAGATGAACAGAACAGAACAAAACAAGCAGCAAAATGAATCAAAAGTATGACCTGGCTTAGTCTGAGTTCTTCTTATTACCTACGGTGTAAACTCTGGTAGATATACCTATAGCAATAAGAAATCAGAACTGATTCCACAACTTCACCTTGTACCCAGGTCTTTGTCCTGTTGGAATTCCATCGGTCTACCTCTTGCACAAAGACTTCTACATCAATACTTGTCCACCTTATCAACATTAATTTTTCCCCTCTATGGCTAGCTGAAATGCCATTTTTCTAGCAGGAAGTTCACTCATAGAGATCCATCACCAGTGTTATAAAGAAAAACCCACCAGAACAACAATTTTGTGATTCTGACATACAAATAGGAGCTGAGAAACATTACTTTCATTTTTTTTCTTTCAATTTTGATCAGCTAATTTTTAGGGCAGGGCATTTGTCTAATTAATCTTTTCATCCAGATTAGAGGAGACATTTGAGGGGACTGTTAGCACCTAAAATCTATACAGAAGACTTTAACATAATTTTTCATAAATAATGAACCAAGATGCTGTTATTTTTGCCTCATTATTATGATTTCTACATTTTCATGGCCAAGTATCTATTGTAAATGTGTCAAAAGGCTCCCTTTGCTGGATATATGAGTCATATGCCTGATGAATGCATTGATAAGAAATTCTCAATTTGGAGACTGAAATGTACTACAGTGGACAAGGCAGTTCAACATATCCGATCACTAGCACATCATATGGTCCCCGCAACCACCACCAGGAATCATCCTTAAGTGCAAGGAGTAAGCCCTTAGCACAACCAAGTGGGGCCCCAAAAGAAAGAAAAGAAAAGGACCCCTTACCCCCTAAACATCTGCAAGGTCAGTTTCAGCTAAAGAAAGGATTTAAAAGATGAGAGCCAATGAGATAATAAAGCAGGTAGAGCATTTGCCTTGCATGTGGCCGATGCAGTTCAATCCCTGGTATCCCATATGGTCCCCTAAGCACCGCCAGGAATAATTTCTGAGTGCAGAACCAAGAGTTACTCCTGAACATCACTGGGTGTGACCCCAAAAGCAAAATAAATAAATAAATGAAGTGCTGTTTTTAATTTATAAAAAAAGGATAATAGGTAATGTGCCTATAAATAAATATGCATTTTCTTTTAAGAAAAAATAAAAGAATCAGGACTAATAATCAATAACTTATAGTATTTAAAAATTATTTAATCTGTGGCATCTCTTCCAAAATCTACATGGGATGTGTGGGTCCTGAAATTAGATGGAGTTTTGAATCCTGATTCCATCTCCTATTAACAGTTGCCTTTCAAGTTCAGAAGACTCCATTATTGCTTTTGCGACTGACTAACAATGCAGAGATGCCCATTCGCATCTTGCTTTCTTTGTGTGATAATTGGGCAAATGAACAAGTAAACCTTTACCACCATGTAAATAAATTCTCAATTGTTGGTGGGGGTTGTGGTTTTAAAAATTATCTTTATTATTCCCTTTTCCACTTTGCCTTTGTATTGATTTTATGCATTGGGTGTCTTGTTTCTGTTTGACTCCAGTCTCTCTGGTTAAAGGAAGCAGAGGCAGCTGCGCTCTTTTATTGTCATATGTGAATTATTCCCTTCATTTCTCATGAAGGTGAATATCGGAATGAAGGTCAGCTTCTATCTCCTTTCTCTCCCCATTACCTCAGTTCTCTCTCAGCCTTCTTCTCCCCTCCCTCCCTTTCTTCATTTTTCTTCCTTTGCTAGTGCAGAAATGCCAGCACCTGCACCTGTATGCCCTGAGGAATGCCAGCAAGGACAGGGGGATTTCATTGTGCAGAAAGTGAAAAATAGAATTCTAATTGAGAAATTTACCAATATTAAATTGAAATGAATGTGATGTTCAAGAACTGTCTGCCAGTTGACAAGCTGTCAAGACAACACACACATATATATTTGCCCAAATGGCAGCCAAATTATTTTAGAAATATCTTATTTGGAAGCTAGAGATACAGCTCTTTTATAATATACTGTGAGTTTCAGAACTTGATGAGAATTCACTTATATAGCAGAAGCACATAAAGCATGGCATGTGAGCGTGTCTGATTTTAACTGTGGGTCTCAAACTAGCATCATTGAAGTTGTTTTTCCAGTGAAAAATCGCCTGCATTTGTTGAATTCCTGACTGTACAATTAAAAAAAATAATTCTAATGAAGGAGCATTGGCTTTTAGCATTATGTGAGATTTAGGTAGCCAGGAATTATAACTTGAAATACATGGTACCTTTAACTCTATCATACAGTTGATTTATTAAATAAGCATTTTAAAAATTCTATTATAAATTGAGATCAGGGGTGTTCACTTGGACTGTAGTCTTACACCTGATTTCAGGTAAAATAGACTTTTATTTGGAAATATAATTTTAAATTGTTTGGCCTCAGACATGTCTGGTACTCATCTAATTGATATCAATTATCCCCCTCTATTTCTCACTTTGTCTTACTTTATAATGTGCACAATAAATCTTACCTTAAAAGGCATGCTTGGAAATACTCACTATTATATTTAAAATACTTGGCATTGAACTTATCACCAATCATTTATGAGTTTCTTTTACTAGCATGACCCCAGGGATTATTAATATGATATGAATGCTTATTCATGAGAATGGGCTTAGCAAGTCTTAACCTGATGTAAAAAAAGTATATGTTGAAGTGAAGTTTTTAAATGGATGCTTTAGTTGAAGGGAGGTAAAAAGACATAAAACCCAAGTGTTGCTTAAGCTGATAGACATATTTTCACAGTTGAGTTACTGGAAACATGATACCATATTGAAAAGTTCCTAATGCTGAAAACTGTCTTAAATTCACCTCATTTCAATTCTTCTAGTTTCTACAGTATAGGGACTGATATTTACTTCCCCACTTCTCATTATTTTTAATAAGAAAAAAGGAGGGAATATGAACGATTCTGAATCAGACATTACTTGGCGGAGCTGGATTTAAATCCAGACATCTGTTCTACTTCCCATGGGTTTCTCCAGAATACTTTCATGTGGGCTCTATGATTATTTTCATATTTATAATAATGGTTCTTTTACAAAGTGAAATAATAGCACTTGAGGTCAACATACTTTGCAAAGTAAGAAACTGAGATAACAGTGGGACAAAGAGAAATTTGTCCAAGTACTACACAATTTTCAAAATAGGAACATAAATAGGAGCAAAAAAAGAACATTTGAACATATAAGAATAGTGCATTAGGAACTCAAACAAAATGAAATAAACTGATCCCTATAATTAAAGATGGGCTGAAGTGCTTTAGTTAGCCAAGATAAAAACTAAAGAAAGGAACTAGAATTGACTGGATTTCTGGTGGCAGTTTCAAAAACAGGATCCTCTCTCTACTCACCGACTCCCCCAATAAAATCAAAATATAGAAGGTCAAAGGTGATGAAATAAAAATATTTTTTAAAGGCAAATTTCACTGCTTTCTAGAGACTTCTAACCTAAGAGGCTCTGGAAGACAGGGCACGGTACACAAGTGAATTTATCTTGAATAATGTAACGTAATTCAGCCAAAAGGAAAATTGGAAAGTTAAAAATGATTTCAGCCTGTCACTCTCTGAAAATCATGACTGGGTCTTTTTCTCATCCCCCTCTACTTTCTTACCATTAGTATTAGACATTGTCTTTGTAACTATGCAATTTTGTTTTGTTTTTGATTTGATTTGTGGCCACACCCAGTGGTACCCAGAGGCAGTTACTGACTCTGTGCTCAGGAGTGACCTCTGGTGGTAGACCATGTGTGATGCTGGGGAAAAC